CTCCGATAATCCAATGTTGAGGTCAAATAAGTTCTTGCTTGAGTTTCCTCCCCTTGAACATGAGGCCATTGTATTATGTGGGATGTGAATAGACTGTCGTCTCGATAGCATTTCCATATGTAAGTCGAAAATATTGACAGATGAATGTCTGCCCCTTGAAGTAGAAGAGATGTTGCCATATGGATTATTGGTGAAGCCACGTGGGTTCAAATCATAAGCAATTGCTGATGAATGTCTTCCTATTGAACTTGATGGCATAGCATATGGCGTTGGATCCGCCATTAATGATGTGAAATAATTACATATCAGTTGCGTCGGGCTATCAACTTGATCAACATGATATGAAATGCCAAAGTGAGAGGAATATGAGAGACCACAAGAAGCACGAACCTCAATAAAAGTGGCATACATTTTAATAAGAGATTGTGAACTCCCCATATGAGTATCAACCATCATAGAAACATCATCATCGTTGGAAAGATGAAATGATGTATACGTGAGTGGAAAAAGTTCAGTAGGAAATCTATACTGAAGTGAAGATAGTCTTCTACGGCCAGCTACACGAATCTTTAACGAAAGTTTTGTGATTAACTCCTCAAGAGTGATGTTTCTCTTCAAGTTTAAGGGGATATAATGATCTGACTCAAAAACAACCCCCTCTTTAGCTTCCTTAATTTCTCCATCATATAAAACAACAGCAGAAAGATGACTCATTTTCAGAGAATAGATGATTGATATTTTTGAGAAATTTAGAGTTTGAGAAATTGAAAACTTGTGAACTGAAGTTTGTTTTGAAAGTCCATAATACGTTGCATATAATAGTGTCTATAACCGGGATACTATTCACGTGAAGGTGCATTTACGGGGGGGCTTTCCATTATTTTGTCAGAGAATATATTATCATTGCCCTATTATGTCACTCATGTCCCTCAGGGGCACTATTCATGTCAATACCCAAAGTGGTGAAAGCACGTTCCCGGGGGGCGCCTTCCATTATTTTGTCAGAGAATATGTTATTATTACCCTATTATGTCACTCATGTCCCCCCGAATAACTATTCATGTCAGTACCTATTATTTCTGAGGGGACTTGGCAAAGTGGTGAAAGCACGTTCCCGGGGGTACGTCTTCCATTATTTTGTCAGAGAATATGTTATCATTGCCCTACTATGTCACTCATGTGAAATTGGATGTGAAGTAACTTAAACTAAAACGTTATGTGAAGCTTGAATAAATTGGATAAAATGTTATGAATAAATTGGATAAAATGTTATGGATAAATTGAATAAATGTGAAGTGATCAGTTGGCTGTGAGCATGAAATTGTATGGAATGAGCATCAACATGTTTTTACGAATAAATATGAAGTTATAAGTTGGTTTTAATGTATATGTTTTAATGTATATGTTTCAATGTATATGTTATCAATAAAATCATACGTATGAATAAATTTAATTTGAATTTAAGTACTGTGAATTATAATTTGAATATAACTTTTAATTTTGAATACAATTGGAATATTAAGTTGAATTTAATGTTAAATATCGAATACTATAATTTGTATATTAAAAACATTTAATGTTAAATTTGAATAAAAATAACATTAAAAATATTGTTCTAACAACCATGAAACATTTAAATAACATAACCAAATTACATAAATTTATGAAATATAACTATTTAAATAACATTAAAATACAACTGGATCACCGATTTCGTCTTCTCGAATGAGTTCCACACGACGGTGGTTGTCTATTTCGCTGAGGATTTCTTCGTGGAACTTGTTCTTCAGTCTCCTCATCTTCATTATCATCATCATCATCGGCATTTTCTTCGGCTGGTGTTGTAGATGACGCTGAAGGGCCTGTATAAAATAACAACCCTGGAGGAGTGCTACTAACAAACCCACCGCTCATAGAAAATTGAGAAAAGTGTAAAAATATTGCCATCGATGTCTGTGATCCAGATGGAGATTGAGGTGTCTGTGGAGAATGACCACCAGCCAAATAAGATGCATATGAACCATATGTTGGATCATTAAACATACTCGTATATGCAGCTCCATATGGTGTCATAAAACCCTTCGGGCTAGGCATGTAACCTGGCAGGCTAGGAATGTAACCCTGAGGGCTAGGAATGTAACCTTGCGGAGATGACATATAAACTGATGGGCTTGGCATATACCCTTGAGGAGATGACATATGAACTGGAAGGCTGGGCATCATCATCGGTGGATAGGGATGTTGTGGTGGGACTGATGCAGAACCGGTAGCGTATTCTCTCCGTCCACGAGTCGGGGGACGATGATATTGAGACGGTGGACGTCTCTCTCTGTGCCTAGGAATGTTAACCCCTCGTGCTTCAGCCGAAAGTAGAAACGACTTTCCATTTTCATTAAACCAGTCAATATAGTTATCCGTAACCATATGACCAGTTTCAGCGTAAAATTGTCGAGGGGCCAACTGTGCATATCGGTTCTCCCAAAGCGCAATCCAATCTTTGTGTCTCAACACCCAGTTAACATATTTCTTCCCTCGTTTATCGATGTTATGCATGTCGTCTAAATTCCTAGGTGCTCTAGGAATATATTGCGTACAACCAAACTGATGGAGCACGCGATCAACTGGATGCCACTCAATAATAGCATAACATATAAGAGGTACAATAGACATCTAAACTTCTAATGACCCACTCATGTGGGGTGGAATGCAAGCCTTTACTTCATCGCTCGCATAAGGTATCCACTGAAACTGAAATATAAATATACAATTCAAATAAATATAATATTCTAATTATATCTAACATTTTAAATTAAAATATTCATATTTAAACAGATTTCAAAACATACCTCAGATCCAGCTTTTGTATCAATAAGTAAACGGATTTCCTCTAATCCAGTAGGTATATCTCTATGGTTCTTTCTTTTCATCGACCACCTATGAAATATAATATAAACTAAATATCACCATATTTAATTAAAAATATTTAAATCAAAATTTAGTTTGAAAATTACCTCAATAATAAGGGGAATGCGTATGGTTCATTGACGAACGGGCATAAGAAAGGCATACGGAACCACACCCATGATTGCAGAAGCAGGAGACATCCACCGATAGCAGTTTTCTTATAATTTGTCGCACGACACATTTCTCTAAAAAGAAAGACCAAAACTGCAACGCCCCAACTATATCTTCCAGCTTCATTAAAATCAATCAGATGCCGCAACCACATACAGTGCACCTAATTACGAGATTTGTCGGGCATTAATATTCCTCCAATAATTCGTAGAATATAAGCCCGAGCACATACCTTTACTTCATCATCTGAAGCATTTTCATTCAGAACTTCAAAATTAGCTTTCAACCATGATAAAACTATTATACCTCCATTAAACTCTAGCTGAGCAGCTCCAAGATACTCCATGCACATTGACTGTCAATCACCATCCGTCATACCACACATAATATTCCCATCGACATGAAGCCCCAGATGCATAAAGACATCCTCGAACGTAATTGTAGTCTCTCCACATGGAAGATGAAATGTATGTGTCTCGGGCCTCCATCTCTCAATCAATCCAGAAATTAGGACAGGTTCGAGTTTGCAACCGCCAATAATTGTTGCAATATACCCGAACCCAGCAGAAGACAAATATGGCAAAATACGTTCCGGTGTCAGTATACGTGGGTTTTTAATAAAAGTCTCTAAAATACGACCAGTTTCCTAAATAATATGCATTATAAAAATTTATAATTAATATAAGTTCATTATAAATCTAAATTAAAAATAATAATAAATATTAACATTAATTATAAAAAAAATATTACCATATCACTAAAATGTCTAAGAGATATGGTTTGCATCCAATCGCAACATTTCACTTTTATTATAACTACAGACAAAAAAATATAATTATTACAAAAAAATAATTAATTAACTAATTTAAACAAATTATAATTATATAAATATTATTTAAGTTATATAAGAGGAATAAATGTTTTGGTGTGAAGAATGAGGGGGTTGAAGAGGTTTATATAGGGGAGGAGGAGTGGTAATTGAGGAAAAAACGGATGGGGGCATTAATAGTATTTAATGGAAGTCGCGTTTCCGGGGATGCGTCTTCCCCACGTGACAGTTAATCTATTAAAATCCCTTGAAATCATATCCCCGAGGATACACCTTTCATACGTGACATCAGACTCAGCATAAACTCAGATAAATCACGTCCCCGAAATTACGTCTTTGTATCACTTCAATCAAAAGGATGTTACTTCAAGAAATATTGATCAACAGATATTTTAACGGACGAATTTAAAAAAAATCAGTTAAGTCAAATCGTCCTAAATTATCATTGTCGTCATCCGCCAAAAAAAAATGACACCCGTATCCCGAGAAAGACAAAACAAAGTACAATTAGAAATAAATATAAGTTACTAAAGTGCTGTAAGACTTGAAGATCGTCGTCCAAATTCTTTTAAAACTGGGAGGCATAACCCTAGCCATGTTTTCTTCTGCCATATGCATGAAGAAGCCCAGTAAAAAAGCAAAAGCAATCAATCTGATCATCAACGTTATCCTTTAGTCAGCGGTGCTGCTGCATGATAAAGTTTCAAACTTCAAAGCAAAGCTCTGCTCAGGTTCAGCTTCTCCAATTTTTTATCCACCGAATATTTAAGAGAATCTCTCAATTATCTAACATGTAATAACCATGACACTATGTCCAAGATTTTCTAGTCCTGTCTTGGCTCCATCAAACGTGGAAAAAAGACAATGACTTCGCTTTTGAAGCTTCTTCAAAGATGGCTTTTTTTTTCTAAACAAGGAAAAAAAACAAAGAATATTTTGATCGATTTATAAGCAATACAATATTTAAAATTTTAAACAATGGTAATTAATTATCATTTCATGAAACGGAAGTACATAAAGACTAAACAAACTCAGAAAAGAGGGAAAAACATCTAAAACCTCCGTTCATTCGAAGTACTTTCAAAGAAGAATTTTTTTTTAAAAAAAAAGAAAGCTTAAAAAGCTAAAGCTTTGAACTCATTAGTATGGCGGTGGAGGCGGTGGTGGTCTAGCAGTCGGAGCCCATATGACATCTGATCCGGCCATATGACTATTATACATCGGAACCCCACAAGAATCTGCCCCACCACCGTGACTACTATCTCCACCACCACCAGATAATGGCGGCGACTGCCCACCTGCACCACCAGACGACACCGTATTCCTCCCTTCTTCTTCTTCCCTGGGTAACCGGTGATACGAAGGGTTGTTGAATGTAGCAGCTACTAAAAACACGTTGCTAGCTGCTACAAGCGGACCAGCTACGAACCCTCCAACGATCTGCCCTTGATGACCGGCTAAAGATATGGGAATCGTGTTCGGCACGTGGCACGAAGTCGTTTGGGCTGGGAACGTGGCGGAGAGGGATAAGATGTCGAATCTGCCATGGAAAGTTATGGTGCCTCCTGGAGTGGCCGATGAAGGTTGACGGAGAGACACGTTGGAGACAGTCCCAGATCCCGTGAGCACGCAGATTCCGATGTTTTTGTGACGAGAAAAGCGTGCGACAGCTTCTACGATGTCGTTTCCTCCAGGGATTTCGAGAATGTAAGGACTCATTGCGGGCTCGGGCTCGTGAGTGATGACGACGGACGGCTTGGGCTTGTTTTTCGAACCCGGAGGACGACCCCTGGGTCTACGAACGATTTCGATGCTCGCTCCATCTCCACCACTGTTAGCACCGCCACGAGTCCCACTGCCGCCGCTGGGAAGAGAAGGGCTATGGGTGGTGGAAAGATCTTTGGGACCGTGGCTAGGGGTGTGGGTGGCGTCATCGGAGTCGGGGGTTCGAGAGTCGCGCGAGAGCTGAAAGTGATGGGAGAAATGGTGAGTTTGGTGTTGGCGGAGGTTAGAGAACATGTCGTTGGGGTTTGGTTTACTGGGTTCTACGTATTCACCTTTCATGCTTGGAAATGAGAGCTTTTTTATTTGAAATAATATAAAAACCAAAAACAAACAAATTTGTCAATATACAAAACTTTAGTAATAAAATAAGACTAAATATCAGTTAAAGAAAAAGGAAGAGAGGAGAACAAAACGAAGGGATGGAGGATGGAGGAGGAGAAGGGGGGAATAATAAATAAATAGGGATGGACTCATGGAAGGTTTTAGACAGACAGAGACAGATAAAAGGGGGGTAGGTGAGCTTTGAAACCAAGTAAAGACTGATGGTGCCATTGGTTGGAGGTCAGGTAGGGTCCATCATGAGAGAAAATAAATTTGACCCAAATGATTAGAGCATCGCATGTGCACCGCCTTTGGCTGAAGCATTACAATTGAGACATAAAGGATAGGATAAGATATGTATATAATATCACATGAGTTACTTATCCAACTTTTTCTTTCTTTCTCATCGAAACTTATCGAACTAAATTGGTAGCAATACATTTCAACATTTGTAATGTAACTATCCAACTCGCCTGTACAAGACAATAAAATTTGGAAATATCGTGGGCATTTTTTTAAATGTAGGTATTGAATACTTATTTTAGAATTTAAGTTAAGAACTCGTCATAAGAGAATGAAATGATAAATTTTATAAAAACATTAAAAAATGGAACTCATCATATGAATCGAATATAATTGTATAAAACTTGTCATTCCACTTATAACGATAGTCACGTGTGCTATAGTAAATTACGTAAATTTTGAAATAAATTTCAGTATCTATATTTAAAAAAAATCGCCCACATTATTTAATCAACGAAGTTCATACAAGATGTCTAGTATTCTAGGTTGCCTTCAAAGTTTTATCATTGATGTTCTCTTATTATCATTAATTCACGTATAAAAATAAAAAAAATGAATCATTATCATTAGTAATATAAAATAACATAAATACGATATTAAGTATAGTAAAAAAGTATTTTATGTATAACATTAAAAGTTATAATTTTCATTATTTGTGACGATCCAACTAATAAAATTTATAGGTGAAAATGAGAAAAACGATAGAATTATTGAACGGCATAAATCTCTTACAACGGTCAAAGAAATGTACTTCTCATAGAAGTGTTCCACTTTATAGAGAATTAGAGACATGTTTCTCATCGAAGTGTATTAATTACATATATATATATATATATATAATTTATTATTCAATATTATATTCAAAATAAATTATAAAATGAGTTAATCTAATTATTTAATTAACTATATATATTTAATTTAATAATAATTGTTTTTTTTTATTTTATACATAAAAAGTGAACGTAAAAATTATACATTTCAATTTATTTAGTTATTTTAGTTCAATTAAGAAGAAATTTTGTTTGTTATTTCAATTTTAGGTTTAAAATCAATTTTATTTTGATTATTGAATTGATTTATTTAATTATAAGCGTCTGGTCTTAGTTTTTGGGGTCACTCTTTATTATTATTATTATTACTATTATTCAATTATAAAAATGTCGCAAGTCTCAGCTCACTTTGACAAATGGTTATTTTTTTTCACCATTCACGTTCTTAAAATATTCAAGTGGGTAGGAGTTTTCACAAAGACCACTTTCTCTCTTTCCTTTTTTTTTTTTAAAATTATTATAGTTTTGGAATAATCATTTTGCTTGATAAGCACATTTTTATGCCAAAAGTCTGAGAAATTTTACAATTAATATTGACGAAAGAAAAATGAGAAAGTTAAACCAAAATATCTACCTGACATTTTTGTAAATGATGGTTCTGAAATGATTTAATAAAGAAAACTATAAGTATGATGCTGTAACAAGATGTTAGTATAATAAACAAGAAAACATTTGATCATTTTCTATTTATTTTGTAGGAAGTATAGGTCAAGATAGACATAAGATTTTATATTAAGAGGTGAAATATTAAATTTAAGAAGAAGATTACTCTCATCTGTTCTTTTGATCCATCTTTAATGTAGGTTGAGTATACATATTAGAAATTAATTAACATGATAGACGAATTAATTAACGTGATAGACGATAATTATCATATTAGAAATGAAAGAATTGATAAAATAAAATAAGATGATTTAATGTCATAACACGTTATAGGTTCATTTGACATGTTGTGAAGTGATTTGGCAATTGAGATTAAGTCTAACAATTGTTAGACAAATTGTCACAAGTATATTTTTGAAGTATATTCAACAGAAATGTTTTCATATATATCACAAGGGGATGTTTTGATTGATATACTTTCGAATTATTTCGGATGAAAATATCCTCTAATCACCTTATTTGATTATACTCCGAAGATTTCAGATGAAAAATATAATAGATCTCATATCTACGACTACGACAAACATAATTCAATATTAGAAAATTGTATATGCAATTAATTTAATTAAAAATAACAATATTAAATCTAAATTTGAGATCCGTCGACATATATGTTAAAAAACATGAAATAACAATTCCCATTATGAAATGAAAAAAAAAAAGAGAGAAGAAAATGGTTAGCTTGGAAATAATAGATTCAGTGAATCAGAACATGAACAGTTGAAGTTGGATGTATGTAAGAAGATAAGGTTGCATAGCAAGTTGAAGGTGATTGTATAAGAATCTGAGTTGCCCTTTAATTGATGAGGAAATGTCATCACCACCACTATTCCTAATATTGCATGGCAGTGCCATTGTTTGACATGTTATGCCAACAGTCTTACCTACGTGTCCCCCAATGAACTAACATTTGTCTTTCTAATATTATTTTAAATTGTTTAATATATCATTTTTGATAATAATTTACAATAGTTGACAATTTCATTATACTTTTCACTGCACTGCTGGGTGAAAGTCTTATTATATATATTTAGTACTTAACAAAAAATTTTAATTTATCTTGTTGGAACATATATTTCGTTATTATGGTTCGGGATCGGTTAAAATAAAATTATAAATTTTGGAAGAATAAAAGCTATTTAAATCTGGGAGTAATTGAAAATAAATTTTATTCAAGGTTTGTTTTAAAATATTTATTTAAATAGATATTTTATTATCGGTTTAACCAACTATGTAAAAGGTAAAAAAAGAGCCGAATCACAACGGTTCACTCTTTTGGTATCCTATTACTCAAGCGAAGGTTGAAAAGCAAAAGCAAAGTGTGTCCAGGATAAACTATATACAAAATGGAAAGTTAAATTTGTGATAAAATAAGATAGTGGATTATCAGCGTTGAAGCAGTTCTCTCAAAAGTAGGGTAGTTCAATGTTAGTTGAGCCAGATAATATCCGCAAACACCGAATTGGTTTAAACCACAACATACACAAATCGTAATAGATTGTCAATACAAAGACCACTAACATAGACATCAGGTTCATTTGGCTACATGCAAATGAAAAAAGGAAAAAGTACCATATAGGAGCCAACAAATACGACACATGAAAAAAGTGAGGTTCCACCGTATCATATTCGAGCAACATATGAATTGGACTGAGTGACATATCTGACCCATCGATATGGATTATAGGAGCTGGATTTCTTTGCTATCTGCAAGTATTTCACCTGCAGCAGGAGAGCGATATGAATATCAGAAATCTATTCACATTGTTGACACTAGAACCCTTGTCCTATGTGCTGTCAAAAATGCTTGAGAGCTGGTTTTACTATTCAGAAGAATTGTGAACCTCGATCTAAGTGGATAAATTTACGAACGCGCAAATGCACTTTTGTTACAGTGAGAGACACGCAGAGAGGGATGCTCTGGGCTGGCCTTATTATCCTAAACAAGGTCCCCAAGAGAAGTTCAAATAGGCCTTATCCGTAAAAAAAGACAGACAATTTTGATCAGACTGAATGAAAAATTGATCCACTGATATTGACATTGGCAATATTTCAATAGCATAATATACAAAGAAAAAGAAATCTACTTCAGACTTTACCATAGATTCATTTGACATTTTGCTTTTATCAGCCAATAAATAGAAATTTCAATCCTCTAGGAAATTACTGGTAAGAGTATCAATACCTGTAGCCTTGAAACATTATACATCGGTATTGTGAAAGTCATGCTAACTGGTCCAGCTTCCTTTGTGATGTTAGCTAAATTAAACCATAAACATATCATCAATGAGAAAGGAACTTAACACATTTTCTCAATTGAACTGATCATGTTGAAAAAGAAAAGAAATTAGAAAAAGGATTCTTTCAACAACTAAAATATGGATAACGCATACCATGCGATTCCTGTGAAAATGTCAGCTTTGCACGAAGTGTATGTTCAGATCCACCAACGATCTATCAAGCAATACAAAACCACGATTTAGATTGAAAGGAAAAGTCTACCATATAATTGAATCATTCGAGAACGAAATCTTCCCGAGGCATCTGTAAAAAAATTACCTTCTTCAACCCCCATTCAAGTTTCTTGTTTGCTTCTTTGAAATCTGTTCTTTGCCCAACAGCTCCAGGTTCCAACTCAAAGCTAGCTCTGAAAGACCAAGTCTAAAAGTTGTAATCCATAGAAATGTATCTGTTCAGCCATACAAGACATTGTGCAGAGAAAAGGAAAATACCTGGTAGTATATTTAGGAAGTGGCATCTGTACAACAACTGTGTTTGCAGTAATGTTCGAAGGGAACTCTGCACGTATCTTAATAATCACTTCAGCCTAAAAATTTCAATAGAAAAGAATAAAGATCGAAACCAAGAACAAATGTTCTAGAATTTCAAATTTATATCAATACTGAATGAATTACATGTAAACGGAGAAATAGGTTTTATCTTATAATTATTTCAGGGAATATCGCAAGCATGTGGATCATGTGGAAAAAACATATAATTAAACCAACATAATGCAAGGAATTCAAAAAAGACAAGCTCACTTTAAGTTGTCCTGCTTCTTCAATTAAACAGTTAATACGAAAAGGAGGCTTAAATTCCTGCGTCATTCGGTAGTTCATGACAGGAAATTCACCATCTGCTGGTACCTGAACCATAATAATGAAACTTGAGACTAAAT